ACAAGCAATTAAATTTTAACTATACTAACCTATATATCATATTTAAATGTTCTCTAAACCTCTAATATACTTGCCTTTATTTACACTTCATTATAATCATAATACATTCTTATATCTATTGTTACACTACTTAATTTGGGCACCGTGGAGCATAATGGCCAGTTTGCCCACATTTTTGGCAATGCCTTCCCCCCTTTTTATTTCCAGTTGTCTTTTTCGGTAATTCACCACCAGACTTGTATCTTTTAGGTTGTCGACCTTTGTGTTGTACTCGCAATGGATTTTTAATGCTAATATCTTCAACATTTGTCGAATTGACATTTTCATCTTGGTCAGATATATCTCTCTTAGTTTTTTCAATAAAACATTTTATCTCATTAACAAAATCATCAACTTTATTAGCACAGACAGCCAAGTCTAGTGCCTTTTTGGTATATCTCATACCAAGTCCATATTTTTGTTTAGGGCCATGCGACTGTACAACATTAGGGGTTTGCTTAAACCTCACAAGGTGCTGAAATGATAATGGTTAAGATAACTCATTTGACTCAATTTTTTTAATTTGATACATCAGCACAAATGCCTTATCTTTATTAATTTTACTATTACTATACTAGTGTTTAGGAATAAGTATAATATGAAATCGTGCATTAGTGGAATAGGACATAACCCGAAAGAAATGTCTATACACAAGACCACGATTGACAAGCCAAAGACATGTGCATAAGTGTGAGTTGTCATTGAGTTGCTGTCTTCTATGTCTAGTAATTTTCCAAACTTCTTGAACATATTCTTGAGGTATATTTTTGAGCAAAGAAGAAAATAAAGACTGAGGCTGATCATAGTCGTCTTCTCTAGCTATTTCTTCTTGGTAAGAGTCATCCGTTGTCTAAAGCAAAAAAAAAAAAAATTGTAGTAATAGGTTCAAACTTTTCAATTCTAACTTTAATCTAATATTCTTATCTCTAAAAGTGCTAACCAATTATTAACTAATACAGCATCATAGCACATTGACTGGGCCATTTGATCTCGCTGTTTCTGAAGTATTTGTGGCGTAAGATGTTCTTTCAACATCTTATCCAACTCAGAGAAGTATTCTTCCATTATAGTTGGTATACCTTTTGTTGGTATTTCATTTTTGCACTTAGCTAATACTGCTTTTTTTGATTGTTGATCAAATATTGTTTGAATTTCTCCAATAACATCTGTTAGCTGTGAAGTTTTACTGAGTTTATCTTTAATAATTTTATTGGTTATTTCAGCTCACTGGGTACTTTGAATTCCTGCGGTAAAATATCGATTTATGGCATAACTTTCCCAACTTGTCTTGCAAGGGTATAAAATATCTGTAAGGTAATTTTTACATGCTAGATATTCATTAATAAGATTTTTCCATTTTGATTCAAATTTCCTATGGCAGAAAGTGTTACGCATCTCCAAAAACTTAGTACGAAAAGGGCTGAATTATTTATATAATGTACTTTTAAGCTTCTTTCTTAAATTTAAATCAATATTAAAGATACAATAGAGATGTCATGTATCTGAATAGTTCTTTCACACAGCTGATAGTAAGCAGGATCGGCATCAGAATATAGCACCGTAGATGCAATTTCACACGAATTTTTTAGCTCTTGCAAAACCCAGGTAAATGTTGATTCAGTTTCGTCCTCAATAAGTGCTGATGCTACAATCATATTTCTGAAATTGTTATCAACCACTATGAATAACATCAATATCATGTCAAACTGGTTAGTTTTAGAAGTTGTGTCTATGACTACAACATCATGATATCGCCCATAAGCACTAATTTGATCAGGAGCCATCCAGAACAATGAGTTAAGTCGTCTTTCCTCTGCATCAAACCGTGGTTTAACTATTCACATTGTATTTTTTTCTTTTTTTGAATATAATTCATTAAGCATTCTACATGCATCATTTTTACTAGGTTTCACCTGACTTTTGAATTGCATTACTTAAATCCTTCTTATTAATAACTTGGTCGAAAATGACGCAGCTAACAAATTATATTGGGTTGGTAAGCCTAATTTTCTATGAATAGTCCAAAATTTGACTTTTTTAGACATTTCATATGTTAGCTTTCGATATTTTGGTGCCATCTCAGTAACAAGTGCATTCATTTTGTGATTGTGCTTCCCTAAAATACTATTAATACGAACATCTTTTTCTGTTTTAGAAAATGCCAAATTAATATGCCAAGAACAATCGATCATTTCAGAATCTCTGTCTCTCCTATCTTCTGCCAGAATAGTCTTTTCAGGTTCACGTATCCAAGCATGTAAACATTCATATATTCGCCGTCTTGTTATGGTGTGGTCATCAGAGTCAACAACTCGTCTTCTCTTTCGAAAGCTAAACCCTCTTGCTTCGCATAATTGGTAAGGTATAATTCGGCAAGTTTCCATGTATTAAACTTCATTTCTTCATAAAGTGCTAATAAATTATTTTTTCTTTCTTTCTCATTTTCACTATATTTGTGTTTACTATCTTCATACTCATTATCTTCATACTCATTATCTTCATACTTATTATCTTCTCTCTCATCATAAATATCATTATTCGCACCTTCTGATTGAGCCTCAACATCCGATCCAGCCAACATATTACTAAAGCTTTGGATATTAATATAAGTTGACCTAACACTATCATATTCATAAGAGCCAGGATAATGTGAACGGTAAAGTATTTATATTATTATAGTGCTCATAGGCGTTTGGATAAACCAACGAAGTGTTTGTAATATTATGTTCATAGCTAAAATAAGGTAAGAAGGCATTTGCATTATCAAGTTCATATGTATTAAAACAAGGTGGTGAAAAATCAGATGTAGTATCCTGTTCATTGATATTAAACTGAGAGGACAATGAGCTATTTATTTGATCATGATTATAGGCATTGAAATTAGATAACAACGATGATGTATTCAACGTTTGGCCCATGTCAAAATAAGGAACTGACGAAATATAATGGAACTTCTTGGGCTTCATGGTAAATTAATAGCACGTGAACTTAGGTAGTTAGGTTTTAAAAAATTGTGATTAGTTAAATTCAAAAAAGTGTATTTAAATGTAAAGAAAGAGAGCATGATTAGATGTAAAAAAAAGAAAGCATGATTAGATATAAAAAAAAAGTCAATAAAAATAAATAAATTTGATAGACTATCAAATTAAATATATAGATTACATCATCTAGGTGAAATCACTTCTAGTTAAAATCAGTTAAATATATAGATGATATCACCTAGGTGAAATCACTCCCAGTTAAAGTTAGTTATAGACTTTAAAATAATTTATAAAAGTTAACTAATTTTATTTATATTGAATAGGTTCAAAGACAGACTGTTGCTTCAAAATTACAAAAAGGCAAATCAAAAAAAAGCTAAAACCATAATTCCTTTTAAATTTACTAATTTAATTTGGACATTTGGTTTAAATAATGATGCTCAAAAATTAATTGAAAACAAATTAAAAAATTATAGCCCAAATTCTAATATACATTTTGGGCTTGAATATTTATTATTTTATTTAGAAAAATATTTTAGTTCAACAAAAAATATAGACAATATTAAAATTTATACAGTGTGAGATAGCAAGAGGCATCCAATTTATACATATAGGTGCTAATTTTTGGTGTTTATATAATCAATTCTGATTGGCTAATTTTTGAGTAATTGATTTTGATTGGTTAAAAACCTATATATGTTTTTTTTTTTATATTAAATGCCAATTTTTTAAACTCATATAAACTTTAATCTCTTATAACTTTTTTAAAACAAAGAATAAAAAAATATCCTTTGACAGAAATGTAGTTTATCTAAAAATCTATCAATTTGTTAGAGGGTTTTTTGATTTAGCTTGTTTTAAAAAAGTTATAATATTTTAAAGTTTTATTAATAGACGTTGGATATCTCTTGCTGTCCCGCACTGTAGCTCTATAATTTTAGAAAATAGGTCTATAATTTGAGCAACAGAAAATTTGTATGGCAAAGCCTGGTATAGCAATATAGAAGCTGAAATAAATTCAGAAGAACTGTTAAAATACTTGACAGATGCCGGATATTGTTATAGACAGGTATGTGTTGTAATTTTTTTAAAGAATTTTTTTCAAAATATTAAATTTTAGTATTTAATTTTAGATATACTTATTATTCAAAGTTGAAACTATTGAAGAAAAATTCGCATAATCTCGCATTAATTCAGTGGTATGATTTTATATCTGAAGAAGATCTATATTATTATAGATATCTTAGACTTAAGCTAAGGACATATATGACATCATTGATATTAAAGCAATTAAAAATCAAATTCATATAATTTCACACTTTGATACAACTAATGATTATTTAATAAATAAGTATCTGTTCTAAAATTAAATAAGATTAGAATAGTTTAGCATATTTTGAATATTTTGCATTAATATAAATTTGTATAGAATAGTTAATACCAAATAAAATTAAAATTTTTAAAATTTTTAAAAAGCTAATATGTTTAAAAAATTTTAAAATAACTTAATAAATCTATAAATTAAATAAATTAAGCATTCTTAAATAAGTTCAAACTATTTCAAACTTAATTAAGTATATCATATTTAAAATATTATATGATAACGAATTTAAATAAGTTCGAACTGTTTTGAACATAATTAAGTATATATATCAAATTTAAAAATATCATATAATAAAAATTAGATTAAATTTAAATTTATCTAAAATAATTTGAACTAATTCGAAATAGTTAAAATTAATTTGAATATATTAATATAAATTTATTAAATAAAAAAATAAAATAAATATATATATAATAAAATCAATTATTATAAAATGTACTTATAGTGTTCAACTTCATATATAATTGTTTTTAATAAAATTTAAAGTTAGGGTGCATTTTTATAATTTTTTTTTTTATATATACAGTCGTTCTCCTCTATAGTCACCTCCTATATAGTCACTAACTCCATACAATCACACAAAGATTTATGACAATTTTTTTATTTATAAAATTCCCTTTATATAGTCACAATTTGCTTATAATCACTATCACATTTTATATTATAAATAAAAGATATATATATTATATATTATCCTCCTATAAAATCACATTTAGATAAATTAGATAAAAGATAAACCACAGAACAATAAAAGTTTATTTTTAAGAATAGTAATCTCTAAAAATAAGAATTAAAACTAGTTAATCATGTAAAAAATTGGTTTATAGCTCTGGGCTATATTACGATGCTTATGACAGCTAAATTAGATTAAACAGACAAAATGGTTAAAATAATTGAAGAATCCAATTTCTATTTAAAAGTGTGTTACTGTAACCATCGTAAGGAAGAGCTTGGTACTGTCATGCCAAGTTTAAATCTGATAGTTGATGTTAGAAAAGTCATATGAATTGGGCAATAATTCTTGTTATTGGCTGCTTCGCATCTATATTCATGGTTTATTAGGAATTTATTATAAAAAAAAGATGTGAATATATATGACCTTTATTTACAGAGGAATTTAGGAAAGCAAATGTTACTCTCAACTAAGGATGAAGATACACTCTTATATACATTCTAATTTTATAGATTCAACACAGTGATCTCAACACTTATGCTGTAGAGTCCACATTTGACCAAGGCACAATGATTACAAATTTATGCAATCGCGTATATACTATTTGAGTGTAAACACTCTTGCATGAATGAAGCTACCAAGAATACTTAATGCCTAATACTACTAAGGTAGGATTAACATGACTAT